GTTTTTTATTTTTTTCAGACAGGGTCACTGGAGTGCAGTGGCACAATCTCAGCTCACTGCACCTTCTGCCTCCTGGATTCAAGCAATTCTGCCTCAGCCTTGCGAGCAGCTGGGATTGCAGGCACACACCACTATGCCAGGCTAATTTTTGTATTTTTAGTAGGGATAACGTTTCACCATGTTGGCCAGGCTGGTCTCACACTGACCTCAGGCAATCCACCTGCCAAAAGCTTTAAAGTGCAAGGAATGATGATTCCAGAAAAAGTTGACCATATTTGATGTGACAACTCCAGTGTCTGGATATTCTCCTGATTCATTTTTCAGTCATCTCTTTGCATGGAAGAATTTATTTTCAACACCAAGTATTTTACCTGAAATTACCACAGTGTCCACTATGGTAGAAACAGCAGTATGTTTTTATAGAGTATATTATTCCTTGGGGAAGTACGTAAGAGACCCAGTTGCTCCTGAACTAACAAAGCTGATAAAAATAAAAGGTATTTTTAGAACCTACATTTAGATGACATTCTATTTTTTCTGGAACACGCCATTCCCAGGCTATCATTTCCTTTTTTTTTTTTTTTTTTTAAAGTTTTTATAAATTTACATAACAAAATTAACCATTAAAAAATGAGCAGTTCAGTGGCATTTAGTACCTTTGTATTGTGCAGCTACCAACGCGCTCTCTTTTTCTAGCATTTTCATCACCCCCAAAGGAAACCCCATACCCATTAAGTACTTGCTCTTCATTCACACCTCCCCAGCCCCTGATAACCACCAGCTTGTGTTCTGTCTCTGTGGATACCTGTTCTAGATATATCATATAAATGGAATTGTCTCACTCCATCCAGTGTTGCCATAAAGGAATACCTGAGGCTGGGTAATTTATAAGAAAAAAGGGTTTATTTGGCTCACAGTTCTGCAGGCTGTACAAGAAGCATGGTGTCAGTTATCTGCTTCTGGTGAGGGCTTCAGGCTGCTTCCACTCACAGTGGAAGGTGAAGAGGAGCTGGTGTGTGCAGAGAGCAAGTAGGAGTGCAAGGGGAGGTGTCAGGCTCTCTTTTTATTATAATAATCAGCTGTAGTAGTAGAGTGAAACCCCATCTCTATGAAAAATGTATAAATTAGCCAGGCATGGTGGTGGGCATCTGTAATCCCAGCTACTCGGGAGGCTGAGGCAGGAAGAATTGCTTGAACCCGGGAGGCAGAGGTTGCAGTGAGCTGAGATGGTGTCACTGCACTCCAACCTGGGTGACAAGAGTGAGACTCCATCTCCAAAAAAAAAAGAATGAAGCTCTCAACACTGTTGTCCTGGCAGTAATGAGTAAGTTTTCACTCTACTACTACACTGTTCATGAGAGATCTGCTCCTGTGACCCAAACACCTCCCATTAAGCCTCACCTTAGGCATTGAGGATCCAATTTCACCATGAGATTTGGAGAGTCAGATACCCAGATTACAGCAGGAGTCATACAACATGTGACCTTTTGTGTCTGGCTTCTTTTACTTAGCATAATGTTTTTAAGATTCATCCGTGGTGGTGTGGCATATATCAGAATTTCATTCTTTTTTTTTGAGATGGAGTCTCGCTCTTGTCACCCTGGCTGGAGTGCAGTGACACGATCTCAGCTCACTGCAACCCCCGCCTCCTGGGTTCAAGCAATTCTCCTTGCCTCAGCCTCCCGAGTAACTGGGATTACAGATGCCCACCACCACACCTGGCTAATTTATATATTTTTAGTAGAGACGGGATTTCACCATATTGGCCAGGTTGGTTTTGAACTCTTGATGTCAGGTGATCTGCCTGCCTCAGCCTCCCAAAGTGCTGGGATTACAGGCAAGAGCCACTGCGCCCAGCCAGAATTTCATTCCTTTATTGTAGCTGAATAATATTCCACTGTGTGTATATACCACACACAGTGTCCAGATGAATGGACACTGTGTGTACAGTGTCCAAACTGTGTGTACAGTTTGTTTATCCATTCATCTGGACGTTTGGATTATTTCCATCTTTTGGCTATTGTGAGTAGTGCTTCTGGAAGCATGCCTATACACGTATTTGAGTCTCTTTTTCAATTCTCTTGGGCATACACCTAGGAGTAGAATTGCTGGGTCATATGGCAATTCTATGTTTAACTTTTTGAGGAACTGCCAAACTGTTTTTCACAGTGGCTGAGTCATTTTACCTTCCTAGCAACAATATATGACGGTTCCAATTTCTACATATCCTCACCAGCACTTGTCATTTTCCATTATTTTGATTATAGATAGTTTAGTGGGTGTGAAATGGCACCTTATAGTGGTTTTGATTTGCATTTCCCTAAGTGACTAATGATGCTTATGTGCTTGTTAGCCAGTTCTGTTTGTTAGCCATTTATATTTCTTCTTTGGAGAAAGGTCTATTGAAGCCCTTTTCCTGTTTTGTTTTTTTTTGAGACAGAGTCCTACTTTGTCGCCCAGCCCAGGCTGGAGTGCAATGGTGTGATCTTGGCTCACTGCAACCTCTGCTTCCCAGGTTTAAACAATTCTTCTGTCTCAGCCTCCTGAGTAGCTGGGATTATGGGTGCCTGCCACCATACCCAGCTACTTTTTATATTTTTAGTGGAGATGGGGTTTCACCATGTTGGTCTGGCTGGTCTTGAACTCCTGACATCAAGTGATCTGCCCGCCTCAGCCTCCCAAAATGCTGGGATTACAGGCGTGAGCCACCATGCCCGGTGCCTTTTCCCATTTTAAAATCAGGTTCAACTGGGTTCTGTGGCTTACACCCATAATCCCAGCTATACAGGAGGCTGAGGCAGAAGGATCGCTTGAGCTCAGGAGTTTGAGGTTACAGTGAACTGTGATTGTGCCACTGCAGTCCAAACTGGGCAACAGAGGGAGACCCAGTTTCTTAAAAAATAAAAAAAAATTAGATTGTCTTAAGGGCTAATATCTGAATCTACAAAAAACTTAAACAAATTTACAAGAAAAAAACGACCCATCTAAAAGTGGACAAAGGATAGGAACAGACACTGCTCAAAAGAAGACATTTATGCAGCCATCAAACATACAAAAAAAAGCTCATCACCACTGGTCATTAGAGAAATGCAAATCAAAACCACATTGAGATACCATCTCACACCAGTTAGAATGGCAGTCATTAAAAAGTCAGGAAACAACAGATGATAGAGAGGATAGTGGAGAAACAGAAACACTTTTACACTGTTGGTGGAAGTGTAAATTAGTTCAACCATTGTGGGAGACTGTGGCGATTCCTCAAGGATCTGGAACTAGAAATACCATTTGACCCAGCAATACCATTTGGGTATATACCCAAAGGATTATAAATAATTCTACTATAAAGACACATGCACATGTATGTTTATTGCAGCACTGTTCACAATAGCAAAGACTTGGAACCAACCCAAATGCCCATCAAATATAGACTGGCACATATACACCATGGAATATAATGCAGCCATAAAAAAAGGATGAGTTCATGTCTTTTGCAGGGACATGGATGAAGCTGGAAACCATCATTCTCAGCAAAGTAACACAAGAACAGAAAACCAAACACCGAATGTTCTCACTCATAAGCGGGAGTTGAACAGTGAGAACCCATGGACACAGGGAGGGGAATATCACACACCGGGGCCTGTTTTGGGTGGGGGAGACTAGGGGAGGGACAGCATTAGGAGAAATACCTAATGTAGATGATGGGTTGATGGGGTGCAGCAAGCCACCATGGCACATGTATACCTATGTAACAAACCTGAATGTTCTGCACATGTACCCCAGAACATTATAATAACAAAAAATTAGATTGTCTTTTTGTTGTTGAGTTGGAAGAATGCTTTATATATTCTGGATACTAGACCCTTATCAGATAAATTACTTGCAAATATTTCTGCCATTCTGTAGTTTTCTTTTCCCTTTTCTGTTAGTGTCCTATGATGCACAAAAGTTTTTTAATTTGATGAAGTCCAGTTTATTTTTTTCTTTTGTAATCCATGTTTTTGGTGTCATATCTGAGGATCCATTGCCAAATTCCAGGTCATGATCCATTTTGTGTTAATTTGTGTATATGATAGGAGGTAGTAGTCTATCTTCATTCTTTTGCATGTGGGTATTTTATTGTTCCAGCATCATTTGTTGAGGAGACTTTCTCTATTGAATGGTCTTGGCATCTTGTGGAAAATCACTAGGCTGTAGATGTGTTGGTTTATTTCTGGGGACTCAGTTTTATTCTTGCCATTTGCCTTTGTATGGGCTGAGTTTCTTGTTTTTCTTCCTTTGATAACAGGATCATGGGGTTGACAGCAGCATTTTCCAGAATCCTAAAAAGCTTCATCTAACTATTGGGATGTTGGTGCTTTTGAGTGAGGAAGAGATCCAGCAGACATGTGAGATGCTACAGCAGTGTAAAGAGGAATTCATTAAGTGAGTATCCTCAGGGATGGGAATGGGTGGTCTACCTGGCCTGGCATCTTTTTGGTATTACAGACTTATTTTTGAACTAGAGGCTGGATGACATGGGAAGGACTCATGTGATTTGATGGAGCCCACTCAGGTAATCCAGGATAACCTGTCATGTCAGATTCCTTAACCTTAATCACATCTACAAAAGTCTCCTTGCCATGTAAGATAGCATATTTATAAATTCCAGAGAGTGGGACATCATCTTTGGGGGTCATTATGCTATCTATCACAGTAACTCAAACATTGTAACATGATTCTCTAGGAAAGTCTTCATTATATTTCAGAAACACTGACTTAAAAAAAAGAAAAGCAAATAATTTTATTTGATTCGGCAAGAATTTTAAAAAATTTAAACTTTTTATATTAAATTTTTTTTTTTTGTAGGGATGGGGTCTTGCCCTGTTGCCTAGGGGGGTGTCAAACTTCTGGTCTCAAGCAACCCTCCTGCCTTGGCCACTCCCTGGCTGGGCATGGCAGGAGTGAGCTGCTATGCCTAGCCAGTTCAGCAAGGATACTAGAAACAGTCTGAGCAATCTGTTTTGACTCAGGGAAAGCATTACAGCTAGTGCTCGACTTACGACCATGGTCGGGACCGCGGACTGGTCATAACACGATTTGGTTGTCAGTTGAGTAGGCTATATGTACAGTTGAAATGGTGCACGCGGAGATGGTAGTGCTGCCGGAAGCTGGTCCGCACCGTCGTACGCCGAGCTGGGCAACGTTTGCGCTGCCAGACGTGGAGAAGTCGTGGCTAGCGATTGTAAAGTTGAATGGTCGTAAGTTGCATAGGTCGTAAGTCGATCAATACCTGTACTATTCTGAGGGCAGAGTTGTTATTCATTTTTACTGTAAAATTTTAATTTATGCATACATCTGACATAACAGCTTTATTTCAAAGAACCATATCTTCCCCTGTTTACCGTTATTTTCTTCCTTTTATGTAAGATTTATAGGAGAGAAATTTGAAAGCCAATTCACTCAAATAGTTCTTTTATTCCATTATTGTAGGCAGGCCCTGTGCTATTCTAACATGGTCTTGTAGAAATGGCTTACCTGGTTCATTGGGTAGAGCAAGGTAAAAGGATCTACAGTTTTTCTCTAGTTATGTTGTATGTGAAACTGTGTAATATAAGCACTTTATGGGCCTGTTATCCTTTTCCACAAATTGTTTCAAAGACAAGATGTTTTTCTTGAGCAAGTTCATAAGCTGATAAGATTTGCAATCTATCTTTTCTGCATCTCGGAGAGCAAAGACCACTTCTTGTCTTATTCTTTTTGCTCAGTAATGGACATATCTGTTTTCTCTAGATCTTACCTAAAATTCAAAATAATTTGGTGTTTGTCATTAGTTACTTGTCATTTTCCTTATATAAAGGAAAAGGTTATGCTTTATTTTACAAAGCAGAGCAGTTTTGCCTGGTTTAAGGATCAGTTCTGATACTTGAACTTATTCCCAGTTTACTTTTTGCTAAACTAAACTGAAAGCTGCTGAGTTTTCTTGGGTGCCATTGGGATAACCCTGCTAAGAAAAAATTTAAAGGTAGATAAAATATTTGTTTAGAGAGGTATTTGTTCTTTTTACCTTATGAAAATCAGGTCACAGGTTTTTAGTCACTGAAGCTTTATCCTAAGCTATGTGAAGGTTTAGCTGGGTTCTTCCCTTTTATGTCTCTTGGTGCCTTTTGTGACTGAATGCCAAATCTGAGCCCTTTAGTTACTGTGCCTGGGGAATAAAGAGCAATCTTAATAGTTCCTCAGAATTTTTGACATGACAGTATGAAAACAGTAATTGTAGTTTTTCAAATTCAGCAAAGCTTTTGAAATAGGACAGAGTTTCCCTGCCAAAAATCTGCAGTGCATGCAAAAATTTGTTTAAAAATGCTCTTTTTAAAAAGCTGGGAAGATGTGAAACCAGCGAGTAAAATGAAGCAAGCTTCCCCAACCTTCTTCTCCTAATTTTCCTCGTCACATGCATTTGTTTAAAAAGTGAAAAGTAAGAAGTGCAAAATTGATTTACTTCTGAGAAGAGACTAATTCTTAAAAAAACAAAAAGGGTACTTCTATTAAAGCTCTGGTAAGTCAGTCAGTCAAATTGAATCATCTAATTTTTTCCTGCCGTTTGACCTTAGTCTTTGTGCTTGGTGTATTTAGAAAAAATGTCAGTAAATAATGGCATTTCTAACCTGAACCTTTTATGGTATAGTGATCTGAAATTAAAACATGAAAAGGAAAACACTGAAAAATGAATAGATCTGTACATAGTTTGCTGTAGTTTAATTTGATGGTTTTTAAAATTGGCGTGTTAAAATAAATGTGGCTATATTGGAATTTGATTAAAACTGTGGTGCTATATTAACGAAATGAGTAGTTGAGTATTTATCTTTTATTATACTTTAAGTTCTGGGGTACATATGTAGATCGTGCAGGATTGTTACATAGGTATACACATGCCATGGTGGTTTGCTGCATCCATTCCCCTGTCACCTACATCAGGTATTTCTCCTTATGTTATCCCTCCCCAATCTCCCCACCCCCTGCTATCCCTTCCCTAGCCCCCCTACCCCCCAACAGACCCCATTCTCAGCCAACTGACACAAGAACAGAAAACCAAACACCGCATGTTCTCACTCATAAGTGGGTTTTGAACAATGAGTAGTTGAGTATTTGTGATAAATTTTGGGGTAGTGTTTTAATTTGAAGGATGTGATGAGACCAAAACCAGGATTTTTGTTTCAATTTTTCAGTGAAAGGCTCATGTAGCTCTATAGATTGTGAATTAATTATTCAGTGTTTAGTAAATCCGGACACTCCGGCTGTGTCCCTGGTGCCTTTTCTTTGTGAGAGGTAGGACACAGACCATGCACTCGCTCTGAGTCTGGAGTCTGACAGATGTGCAGCTCTTCAGTCCCAGCAGCACCCTCCTGTGCCTCAGTGTTCCCAGCAGGCCTGACGTCAAACCAGAGAAGTTTAAAAGGGACTAGAAAGAAGAGAGAAAATACCCATGAGCAAACATTAATGCCTAATTATTGCCTCACATATCATCAGTTGGAAAGTAATTTGCTTACTGGTGTCCCAGATGTAATTGTTTGGCCAAGACAAAGAGTATTTATCGGGCAAACCACTGGATTTCTATCCTGCTTTTTTTAATCTCCCTCTTGATAAACCTTAGGGGTAGGTTGAAAGAGTGTTTCTGCTCATAAAGCAGGCTTTGGATCCTGTTTCATTGTATCTTTTTTAATTTTTATTTTTTGTTCTTGGCACCCCATCTAATTCCAACTTTTGTTTTAAAGCAGTACCACATTTTAACTTAGTGACAATATAGCATGCGTATTATGCTGTTCTTTCATTATTGCTATAAAGAAATACCCGAGACTGGGTAGCTTATGAAGAAAGGAGGCGTAATTGGCTCATGGTTCTGCAGGCGTTGCAAGAAGCATGCTCGGCTTTTAGGGAGGCCTCAGGAAGCTTCAATGATGGCAGAAGGTGAGGGGATCAGGCATGTCACATGGCAAAACCAGGCACAAGCAACAGAGAGTGGCGGTGGTGGTGCCACACACTGAAACAACTAGATTTTGTGTGAACTCAGAATGAGAGCTCATTTATCACCAAGGGAATGACCCAAGCCATTGACAAGAGATCTGCCCCCATGATCCCAGCACCTCCCACTAGGCCCCACTTCCAACATTAGGGGTTACAGTTCAACAGGAGATTTGGGCAGGGACACATATCCACAGTATTTAATATATCAGCATGTGACCACATTCTTCTCAAAATTGTTCAGAACAGCTTCCCCCTTAAAACATCTATTAAATGTTTACCAGAAATATATTGAACACCCATTTTGTATAAGGCATAGTGTCAGGTTTTGAGGCTATAGATGTGGATAAGATAGAGAAAGTGCCTATCTTCCTGGGGTTTGGAGAAGGCTGTGCAGTGAGCTGATTTTTAATTGGGTTTCAGCATGGTGCAACAAGACCTTTTCTGATTGCAATACAGATTTCTATAATAAGGGGTTCAGGAAGAAAACAGAATGGTGGGGCTTTACTTAACACAAAGGGAATACATGTTAATTTTAGGAAAGCCAGGAATTACACATAAACAAAAATAAAATACCACTTGTAATCTTGCCACTTAAAAATAATTACCATTAATACTTTGGATGCATATGTGTATGTTTTTCCTTTGAGGTATAATTTACTTACAGTAGGCCGGGCGCGGTGGCTCAAACCTGTAATCCCAGCACTTTGGGAGGCCGAGGCGGGTGGATCATGAGGTCAAGAGATCGAGACCATCCTGGTCAACATGGTGAAACCCCGTCTCTACTAAAAATACAAAAAATTAGCTGGACATGGTGGTGCGTGCCTGTAATCCCAGCTACTCAGGAGGCTGAGGCAGGAGAATTGCCTGAACCCAGGAGGCAGAGGTTGCGGTGAGCCGAGATCGCGCCATTGCACTCCAGCCTGGGTAACATGAGTGAAACTCCGTCTCAAAAAAAAAAAAAATTTACTTACAGTAAAAATGCACAGCTCTGATGTGTAGTTGATGAGCTTTGACAAATGTCTGTACCTGTGCAACCTCACCCCAATCAAGACGTGGAACACTGCCATCACCCCTGAGGCTCCCTCATGCCTTTTTCCAGTGAATTCACTTCTCCTAGAAGCAACCTGTCTTCTGATTTCTATTACCATAGATTTGGTTGGTTTGCTTTTTAATGTCCTATAAGTAGTTATTCAATATATACACTTTTGTGTTTCATTTATTTTGCATATTTTTAAAAATTTTAACTTGTTAATGGATAATACATTTACATAGTTCAGAAACTTAAGGGTACAAAGGATATGCAGTGCAGTTTCCCTACCAGTGAGATTCATCAACTACCTGCTTTCCTCTCTAAGGCAAGCAGTGTACCACTTTCTCTCTGTATCCTTTCAGGAATTTTATAGATGTATAAACAAACATATATATATTTATATATATATATCTATGTTTATACATCTATAACATATATCTCACAGATATATATTTTTCTCACCTCTATCTTTTGTACAAGTAGCGTAGCATGCACATTGTTGTAGACCTTTTTTAAAACTTGGAAATATTTTTGTATCAGTTTTATATACCATTTTATATCATACCTAAAAGCTTCCTTAGTCATATGTATAGTTTATTTATTGGTCATACATAGTATTATAGTTTAATCATTGCCATGCTATTTGACTTTTATTCTGTTCCCAATCATTTGGTGCTCCAAACAAAACTTTATGCCTCATTTAAAACCGTATGCCTAGGCCAGGTGCAGCGGCTCACACCTGTAATCTTAGAACTTTGGGAGGCCAAGTTCGGGACTAGCCTGGGTAACATGGCAAAACCCAGTCTCTACTAAAAGTATAAAAATTAGCTGGACATGGTGGCACGTGTTTGTAATCCTAGCTCTTTGGAAAGCTGAGGCACGAGGATCACTTGAACCTGGGAGGTGAAGGTTGCAGTGAGCCAAGATCATGCCACTATACTCCAGCCTGGGTGACAGAGTAAGGCCCTAAGGGAAAAAAAAAAAACACCCTATATATAAATTATTTTTCATGAATATGAGTATATTATTGCATCATACTAAGAGGCACATATTGTCTGCTTGTTTCTTTTTCTGTTAATATTCAGCTTGGTCAGTGAATTCAGGTGTGGTTATCATGACTATTATTTATAGAGTTCCTCTTTAAAGAGGTCTCTTTATATTTCCCCTAGCCTTTTGCCCAAGTTTTAGCAGCCACTGGTGATCATTGTCAAGATCCATTAATTTATCGAGGGTTGCAAGGATATAATTTCATTGTTCCTTCTGCATTTATTAGTTTTGGAGTTCTCCTGTAAAGGAGAACTTTGCTTTATCAACAGTTACACAAGTTTATGTGTATATAATTTATAATTGTTTACTTAGGATGGGCTCCTGGAAATGGAATTCTTGGGGAAAGGGTTTTTATTGATGAAGGCTTCTCATAAATATTGACATATTGCTTTTAAAGATGTGATGTCAGGCTGGGCACAGTGGCTCATGCCTGTAATTGCAGCACTTTGGGAGGCTGAGGCGGGAGGATCACCCGAGGTAGGGAGTTCAGGACCACTCTGGCAAATATGGTGAAACCCCATTTCTACTAAAAATATAAAAATTAGCTGGGTGTGGTGGTGTGCACCTGTAATCCCAGCTACTCAGGAGGTGGAGGCAGGAGAATCACTTGAACCCAGGAGGCAGAGGTTACAGTGAGCCGAGATCATGCCATTACACTTTATCCTGGGCAACAAGCAAAACTCTGTCTCAAAACAACAACAACAAAAAGTAAGTAAAAATGTGATATCAGTGTACACCTCCACCTTTGGTATATGCGTGAAATGCTCTTCGTAACTTGTAGAGATAGTAGAGATGGGGCCCTGAGAGATGAGCCAACATAGTAAATGTCTTTATGGGTCAGAACTGTCATCACTTGGCTTTCTCTGTGAGACAGTGCTAATAAATTGGTATTGGAATAAATATAGTGTGACATTGGAAATAGCTTCCAGTGTTTTCCAATTTGCGTGCATTGAAAATTTATTAATTTTCAAATTGGAGAATTAGATAATGTTAGGGAAAAACACTACTATGTTTTTGTACATATGTAAGTAACATACATATTTGATTATATTAACCATGTTTCAAAATATAATAGCCCTCTTAGCTCAAACAGTTATAAATATCTTAATGTTTTCTTCTTTGCAGTGACATTTCTGGGGGTAAACCCCTAGAAGTGGAGATGGCAGGGATAGAATACATGAATGATGATCCTGGCATGGTGGATGTTCTTTACGCCAAAGTCCATATGAAAGATGGCTCCAACAGGTATATTTCTGGAATCCTTCTTTGTTTTAATCGAGAGGTACCTAAAAGCATCCTCACAAGTTTGATTCATTTTGATTCCTTTGAGTTCTTACTGTAAAGAACATTTTAATTCTTTCTCTCTCTCTTTTTTAAATAGTAAGTTAATCTCTTGAAAGAGGAATTTCTTGTAGGAAAAAGTATCAGGCTTTTACTCTGACATTTAGGATGGGTGTCTTACTGTGCTCAGGCTGATCTCAGCCTCTGGGATCCAGGGATCCTTCTGCTTCAGCCTCCCAAGTAGCTGGGACTACAGGCAGCGTGCCCTGAACCAGGATAGTCTGGTAGCCACTGAGTTACTTGGATAATGGGTGTTGATAGCAACGATCTAGTTTTTGTGGGACTCACTGGTTCCTTTGTGTTTTCCAGGATAAGAGGCAGGAAAGGAGGGTATTTTCGAATGGAAGTTTCAAATGTGATGAAGTGCAGTTATAGTGAATACCAGGACAAAATGAGGATGAAAACTTTACCAATTTTATAGGGTTATTAATCTTAATTTTGGCTGGGCACGGTGGCTCATGCCTGTAATTCTAACACTTTGAAAGGCGGAGGTGAGTGGATCGCTTGAGCCCAGGAGTGCAAGGCTAGCTTGGTCAACAGAGTGATAGAAACTCTATTTCTACCAAACCTCCCCCACTGAAAAAAAAACTAAATTAGCCAGGCATGATGGCATATGCCTGTAGTCTCAGCTGCTCAAGAGGCTGAGGTGGAAGGATCACCTGAGCCTGAGGAGGTCAAGGCTGCAGTGAGCTGCGATCACACCACTGAACTCCAGCCTGGGCGACAGAGTGAGACTTTGTCTCTCAAAAAAAAAAAAAAAAAAAAAGATTACATAAAATGCTTAAAACAGTGCTTGGCACAGGCTAACATTATCAAAACATCAGAAAATGCTTACTGTTTTGAATTTTTGTTATTACCACACCTACATCCCTCCCAGGGATTCTCAGTCTGCAGTCGAGGCGATTTCTAAGGCTGGCCTTGGCATCCAGAGCCATTTCCAATGTTAATGTCATTTATTAGTTGAATCAAAGCCTTTGGTGAACAGAGAAGCCGCACGTGCACTAGAAATTTGTTTTTGTGTGGTCTTTTTATTTAGGGCAGGGTGGAAGAAGGTTCACACAGAGCCAGAAACCTTCTAGAGAAAGTCTGATTCTCTAGGCAGGCTTCCACATTTATTTGCTTTCTTACAGGATTTCTTATAAGGTTTCTCTTATCTTAATTTGAATTGATAATGGTGTCTTATCTTGGTTCATTTGGAAGCAAGTTTTAGGGGGAAGGGAGGCAAAATGGTATAGAATGGTATAGGAGCTATTTTCATGTGTGTTCTGTGCCAGATTTTTCTTTTCCTCAATACCTGGCATGTGCCTAAAGAGCCTTCTAATGACCTACCTTAAAAACCAGGAGCATGTTGTTACTTTATAGGAGATCACATACAAGGATATCCCAAAATGTTTCCGCCAGGTTCAAATATGATATCTGGATCATCTACTTTGTGTTCTAACTATCCAAATGCCTTCACAGTACTGTAAAACTACAGTGTACTGTGTATAGGGTAGATTATTTTTGAACTTTGTGAACAGAAACAATGGATCATCTAAGATGGCAATTCACAAATGTTTTGGTCTCACGGTTTCATAATTCTTAAAAATTATTGAGAATTATTGTTTTACAAAGAATGCTTGTTTTACGTTAAGTTGTATCTGTCAATATTTACCTGATTAGAAATTAAAACTGAGAAATTTACTTGTTTATTCATTAAAAATAATACAACTTCTTGTTTATATAACATTTTTTTTTTTTTTTTTTTTTTGAGATGGAGTTTCACTCTTGTTACCCAGGCTGGAGTGCAATGGCGCGATCTCGGCTCACCACAACCTCCGCCTCCTGGGTTCAGGCAATTGTCTTGCCTCACCCTCCTGAGTAGCTGGGATTACAGGCACGTGCCACCACGCCCAGCTAATTTTTTGTATTTTTAGTAGAGACGGGGTTTCACCATGTTGACCAGGATGGTCTCGATCTCCTGACCTCGTGATCCACCCGCCTCGGCCTCCCAAAGTGCTGGGATTACAGGCTTGAGCCACCGCGCCCGGCCTGTGAATCTCTTTAATGGAAGACAGCTGGTTTCTCATAGCTGCTTCTGCGTTCAGCCTATTGTGATATGTCATTTTGGTTGAAGTTACATGAGGAAATCCAGCCTCATAGATACAGATATGTAGTTGGAAAAATGAGGAGTACATCAATGGTCTTTCCAGATAATTGTGGATATTTTGTACTACTATGAATTTGACAAGTCGACTAGTTGTTTTTGTTTTTGTTTTTGTTTTTTTTTGAGGCAGAGTCTCGCTCTGTTGCCCAGGCTGGAGTGCAGTGGTGCATTCTTGGCTCACTGCCACCTCTGACTCCCTGCTTCAAGCGATTCTCCTGCCTCAGCCTTCCGAGTAACTGGGATTATAGGCATGTGCCACCATGCCCAGCTAATTTTTTGTATTTTTAGTAGAGACAGGGTTTCACCATGTTGATCTCCTGACCTTGTGGTGTGCCTGCCTTGGCCTCCCAAAGTGCTGGAATTACAGGCATGAGCCACTATGCTTAGCCTTTTTTAAGAAAGATTAGTTGCATTGTGGAATCCAAAGCCGTATTAGTGAACATTCATACTCTGTTAGATTAAAATCCATTGGTCTGTTATACATTTTTACTGGATCTTTAAGCCATGCACAGTTTTCTAACATGGGTCATTTAGAAAATACCGGTTCACTGAGTTACGCAGATTTCTCAAATCACATTTCATTTTGCAGTATTTAAAATATGTTAATATCACTACCAATTTCATAAACATTTTTAAGCATTGGGAAGTTGTCAAACTCACGGTGGCAGATATACATTTTCCATAATTCTGATTTTTACTTGAAAGCTCAAATTTTAATATTGGCACCAAATACAATTATTTTTCTTCACATTCTCTTGAGAAAATATCTGCCAAATAGCCAGGACTGAATAACCGTAATTTGTCTGTGGATCTTTCAAGTAAAAATGTTGTTCCATGGATCAAGACTAGTTCAACTCACAATTTAGGCAGCTCACAAGTGCATTTTTTAGACAGCCATCTGCTTAGGTTTATGGACCAAGTACTTTATTCTTTCATTTTTCTTTATTTTCTTTTATTTTTTATATTTCTTTTTCCAAAAGGAACAGAGCTTGAACAGGTGTTTTATACATACTGCCAGCTTCATCGCACAGGATATTAAAAGACATGCACTCAAGGGCTGAGATTTAATAAAATTGATCATTTTTACTGCTTTATCAAGATTAAATGAAACTTTTAAAAAAAACTGTACAAATATATAGTGAAGAATATACTACTACTGGCACAGTTGGATGCCGTTACTGTAATTAATGCTACAGTCCCAGCAGCCTTACCTACCATTGCTTTTGCACCATCAGTGCAAATGTCATCCTAGTGAAAAAGATAAATAATGTCATATAAATAGTTTTGACCTATGGACTCCCTAAAAGAGTTTCAGGGACCTTCCGAGAGCCACAGACCACACGGTAAGAACCACTGGTCTGAGTAATATTTTATCTCTAACATTTTAGATAGCAGTTTCCAGGGAATTATAACTAACTTTGGTTAGCGCTTACTCTTGCCTGCCATGGTGCTTAGATCATATTATTTCTATTTAGTCTTTTTAAAATCTTTGTAAGATAAATACTGTTTTTATGCCCATTTTATAGATCAGGGAAGTTCAGAGAGCTTAAGTAGGATAAGTTGTGTAGGATACACTATGTTCCAATTCTTGTTCTTAGAGTAGGGTGCAAAATTTAACTTAAAATTTATTATTTTAGGCTGGGTACAGTGGCTCACGCCTGTAATTCCTGCATTTGGGGAGGCCAAAGTAGGTAGATCACCTGAGGTCAGGAGTTTGAGATCAGCCCGGCTAACGTGGTGGAGGTTGCAGTGAGTCAAGATCATGCCACTGCTCTCCAGCCTGGGCGATGGAGTAAACTCTGTCTCAAAAAAAAAATCTTATGAAAATGTGAAATATCCACTGAATCCACTATTGTAATCAAGCAAGAATATTTTTGGATAATTCTTACCTCTCACTGCTCTAGTTTCTCTTTTCCGTTGTCTATTCCTCTTCCCGAGAATAGCCACATTTGTATTATTTCAAAAAGATTTGTAAATTCCCCTTCCAAAATCTAGGATGTCTAAGGGACTTAATCACTTAATTAATTTCATGAAAAACCTATTCAAATGCCTCCTTTGTGCAAGGTATTTTGCAAAACAGTACAGATTAACACAGAAGCTAGTAACACATGGCCCTGTTTTTAAGGACCATTCAGTCTTTTTCTTTCTGTGAAAAGACAGCTCAATACAAGAACTATGTGTAACAAAATACATGTTGTAATAAAAATACAAGCACTCAACTTTTTTGGTATGCTTTCATATATAATGTTTTAAATCAAAGATTTTCTTTTTTTTTTCTTTTTGAGATGGAGTTTCACTCTTGTTACCCAGGCTGGAGTGCAATGGCGCGATCTTGGCTCACCGCAACCTCCGCCTCCTGGGTTCAGGCAATTCTCCTGCCTCAGCCTCCTGAATAGCTGGGATTACAGGCATGTGCCACCATGCCCAGCTAATTTTTTGTAGTTTTAGTAGAGACGGGGTTTCACCGTGTTGACCAGGATGGTCTCGATCTCTTGACCTCGTGATCCACCCGCCTCGGCCTCCCAAAGTGCTGGGATTACAGGCGTGAGCCACCGCGCCCGGCAAGATTTTCTTAAATGACTGAATGTGAAATGCCCAACCTTTAAAAGGATGGAACCACTTAGATTAGATTTGTTCTCTGGAATCAGAGAGCTGGGACAGTAGACTTAAACTTACTAATGCATCTTCGGTTTGGTTTGGTGAAGTGTGACTGGTAAGGAATTTGTTTAAGGAAGCTTTTACATTAGCTAGTAGTCAG